CTATTGGTCTAAGAAGTAGGTAGGTACCTAATTGTATAGGTACTACATATATTGAAGTATAGACGTATTATAGTATGGTATAAATACGTTTTCCTTAGTTTTCCAATAATACTTTTGGTTGGAGTAGAGTTACATTTATCGACAGTCTTTCAAATACACAGAAGTGACGACTAAATAAGTATCTACATTGTTTGCCTTCGCACGACATGGCAAGTACATACAAAAGTGGTGAACATTTGGCAAGCACGCCAGACGTATGAATGTGATTTAATTATTATTATAATTATACATTATACTATAAAAAAAAACAAGTATTTTTGATCTTGAATACTAAAAAGAAATATATTTAGATAATAACATTTTAATTTTTTTTATTAAACATTACAAATTGGCAATTGCCTATTTGAAACTCCTACTTGAAAGTTCAAACCCTTTTTTTGTAGAATTTGGATTACGGGAGAATAGGTATATTGTGTGATTATTTTTTCCGGATTTCTACGGTCCGGGACTATACAGTCTACGTATTTATTATTTCCGGGAGAATACGGTCCGTGAGTATACATTCCGGATTTCTACGGTCCGTGGCAATACGGTTCGATTATTTTTGAATTCCGGAATTATACGGTCCGGTATATTATTTTCCGGGATTTTACGGCTCCCCGACTGGCCGTCTTCGCTCAGAATCGTTTTTCTTATACACTGATATTTTATCATTCAATTCAAATTTAACACCATCCATTACAGTGACCCATTTGTAACCTACTGTACAGCAGTGCGACACCAACTTGCCCGCCTTTTTTAAGTTGCTTTCAAATGTTTATTAAAAATATTATTACAAAAATTGAGTGTGAACTGTAAATGTTTTAACAACTATGGTCTTTCTTCTTTGATATAACATATTGCATTGGGTGAAGCACTCTGATAAACATATATATATATAATATTATTTAATCAACCCCCCCCCCAACATTGTTGCATGCGGGCCGTCAGCTATCCAAAATATGACGGTTTGAACTAAAGTTGAAGTCAATTTCAACGGTGAATGAAATAATGGTATATTTTCAGTATTTATAAACCGTACAATAGTCTTATAGCAGTCGTGTGTATATGGCTAAGTGCCGGTGAAGGTCCTCTGGTCTCAACGGCTCTGGCACCTCTTATTATGCTCATGCTGTATGTCCTTTGATATGGACGATTCGTGGACATATTATAGTTTACGTAAACGATGTAATCACCGAGCTCTGACGCTTCTAATGCTATTTTAATATAGTCGCCAAATTTTAGAAGGACGACTGGTTTGCACGTGTGTGGTAGCTGGCAATTGCAGGATGGTTAAATTTTATTGAACCTACGAATCTAATGATTTAAATACATGTTTTTCATAATTATTCGAACTTCAGCTTATACATTGTAAAAGGTTAATAGATATAGTATGTAGCACGTTATCCTCAACAAAATATAATAAAATATAATATAGTATAGGTACCTGATATAACATAAATCCGTAGAATAAACGCACTCTAGGACATGTTTTATTAATTGAAAGACGGCAATATTTTTTTTAAATTATTATCCACTGGTTAGTGATTTGTAAAAACGTATAAAGTGAATCTTAAAGGCAAATAAATTTAAAAAATGTAGTGTAAGAATTAAAAACTTGATATTGTTTTCAATAAAAAAATAACTAGATTTTTACTGATTTTATACTATACCTACTTTATATAATATGTTAAAGTATGAATAAGAGGGGGACAAAGATATTTTTCAGAATACACAAATAACTTAAATTTCAAGGAATTGTTAATTACATTCGAATGAGGATCGTGATGATGAACACAGTAAATTTCTTATAAAAAGTGCTGTAAATTTTATAGTTATAAAAGTGTTTTTGTTGTGATAGATAATTCTATTAAGTTTAAATTACATTTTTAAGATGTTCAATATAAATATAAACAAAAAATTGATACCAATAAAAATGAATTGTTTCCTTCTCTATGGATGTAAGTACCTACGTATGATTAACTACTTTGGATAAACAGAAAAAAAATTGTTTTTAAAGCAGTACTTTTTAATTGCTGCAGTAGACTATATCTCGTCATTGATAACATTGACTTACACTGGAAAGGATGTATTCAATTTGAGTTCAATATAAATATGTGTATATTAAAAACAATTTTTTTGGTAGAATAGGTTTGTCGTATAATATCTAATAGCTAAATATGTAAGCACATATTTTGAACATTTCTTCGTGTTTTATAAAATAAATATTAAATAATAATGTACGTAGGGACCTAATAGTTTTGATTTAAATTCTTACGAATATATTGTATTGAATTACAATAAAATTACTACAATCGTAATTTTTTGTTGATTTATTCAATTTTGTAAAAATGTAATGTCTATAAAAAAAAAAATTGTCGGAATACGAAGTTTAGGGCTTTTCAGGTCATATTTAATCTTCTCTCATTAGCTATTAATGTTCTCAATTTTACAAATTTTAGATTCTGAGCGGAGTGATAAATGTATTAATTTTACAATGATGAGTGTTTTTTAATTTTTTTTTTTATTTCTTGTGTTTGTGCACAATATAACTAGTCGAAATAATGCTTTCATTTTAAACTTCAGTATCTTGTTCAATGTGTAAGTGAATCTAGTTGGTACATTGGGGAGGTTAAATACTAAGTACTAGACACTATAGTCTATAATTTAGTTTAGAGTTGGTGACAAATTAAGTACGCTAGTGTTGTATAAACAATTTAACTTTTTTTTAACTTAATAAAAAGCTAACAAAAGTGTGTGTTAACTTTTAACTTAACCCAGTTAACCTATAGTTAAGTTAACTTTTACTTTTTGTTGTTGTTGCATATTAACTTAACTTAGAAACTAACAACAAATTGTTAATGTATTTTTTTTAAATGTTCTACGGTCATTGTAACAAAATATTAGAAACTTTTCAACCTTTTTGAACTATAAAAAGAAAAAAACTTTCATTTATAGGGAAAAAAAACTAAAAAAGTCGCTATGCTGTACAGTAGGTTACAAGTGAGTTACTATAATGGATAGTGTAAAATTTGAATTATTTAATGATATAATATCATTGTATAAGAAAAGCGAATAGGTACTTATAATGCGTTATACGTCAATAAGAAACTATGATACTATCATAGTCCATACTCCATAGATATATAATAGTGTACTTTAGAAGTTTCTAGTAGCCATGAATAATATTCCACAATCACAACAAAATAACTAAAATAGTTATTCTAGGTTTTTTTTTATATAATTTTGTACAAAGTTAACTTAAAATGACTATACAAATAAACTGTGCTTATGTATTTTTTAGATTTTTTTGGTAACAGAATTAACTACTTAAGTGGAATCTTGTTTTAAATTTTCATACCTTAGATATTAAAATTGAACATTTTATACATTTTTAACTACAAAATAATTATTCAACTTTAAATTTGATAAATATTGTCAAAATTCGATCTTTTATATCAAATAAAAAAAAATTGTACTTATGTATTTTCAATATTTTTCAACTTATTGTAACAATATATCAGGAGCCTTGTATTAAATTTTTACACTTTTTGGCAAAAAAGATAAAATTTGATTGATATTCATAGAAAAAAAAATAAAAAAATTTAAATATGAAATTATCCGTCCACATCTCATAACAAGTAAAAATATTTTGAAAATTTTAACATGTATAAGAATTGATAAAATAAACATTCAGTGAAATTTTCATGTATCTAGAGTCATTCGTTTTTGAATTATATAAAAATAAGAAAATCGTTACATGAGAAATCGAGTGAATAACACATTTTGTAAAATTATGAATTTAAAATGGTTACAAAAATTTAATTTCACTTTCCGTTAGACATCTTTTTAGGTTATGAAAAATCTTGTATTAAATTTTCAAAGCTTAGATTTAAAAAGAAAAATTGTTATGAATTTCTAGCTAAAAATAATTTGCATAATGTTGTGTTTTTTCCGTATTTTGTCAATACAGTCGAATCTGCTTAATTGGGACACATCGGGCAGTGGTCTATTTGTCCCCATTATCCCGATTGTCCCGATTAACTGAACAATTTTGCATGCAATACATTCATTCTGGACTGTCATTAATGTCCCCATTAAGCAGGTGTCCCCTTTAAGCGGATTTTACTGTATTTTAACTTTAAATGCTTATAAAAAAAAAAACTGTTGCTAAAGATTTTTAATATTTCATTGTCACAACATAATAAGAGCTTTGTATTAAATTGTCAAGCTTTTTTACCTAACAAATAAAGTTTTATTGACATTCATAGAAAATAAACCTAAAAATGTTGTAAACTGAGTATATCCGTAATGAATAGCTCAAAATCTATCAAAATATTTTGAAAATGTTATCGTGTATAGAAAATTCAAATATAAATGACTAGTGAAAATTTCATGTATATACGTTCATTTGTTTTAGAGTTAAACCAAAAACCCAAATCGATTTTGTGGAAAACCGATTGTGGGCAAAAATTCCCGTTTTTCTTTAATTTTTCTTTTGTTTTTCCGTACTTCTGAAAACTATTGGGAATTTTAAATTTGACTCCTAAAAGTTTCAACTAGAATCACTTTCCCCATCGAACAAGAACTGATGATGATAAACGAAGCATTATTTCGACAAATAATCGAGTACACAGACACAAAAATTAAAAAATTAAAAACACAAATCATTGTAAAATCAATACATTCATAGTTCCACTCAGAATATAATACACGAATTATAATTTGAAACTTTTAGATAGGTACATCTAATACGCATAGCTCATAATAATATAATAAATACTAATTATTGAAAATGTTTAAATTTATTTTATGATTCCCCTTCTCTACATAATAACATGAAATTATTTCATAGGTTAATTTATTTTTTGTTTCGCGTAGGTTTTAGGTTCTATAATTGGTTTTTTACCCTTACATAGAAAACAATTGGGTTTACTCAATAACCACTTGACGGTGTCGCCATGACTGTTATATCGAATGATAAAATGGTAATGTCACCTCTAGCTGGGTATAATCGTTCGACACCATGCCGGGTTGAAAAGAATGTTTATTTTTTACCGATGACACTATTGCTGGCCGTGATTTCAATTGCCTTCATGTTTGTACCAAAAGTGCCTTTAGAGATGGGCGTGGAGATGAAATGTCAATCTGGAAATTATTTTTGATTGTTCATACCGATACCGTTCAACAAAGTACACACACCCACGTCGATGTTTAACGACGAGAAAAATGATGAACTGATCACATGCAAGGTGAGACTAAACAATATTATAAAAAATATTAAAATGTTTCTGGACTTGGAACCTTTTTGTTTCAACAATAATTGTTTATGTTCAATAATGATTGTATATTTCTGCGTTGTAAAGTCGTTTAAAATGTGTGTCAGTCTGTCATAATTAAAAATAATAAAATGTACAGGATGTCTGACAAATATTAACTAAAATAAAAATTAAAACGGTAAATAGTTGATTAATTAGGAATTAAAAATCACAGACTAGACTGATTTTTTTGAGCTTAAAATTATTATTAACTAATATTATGAAGTATATTTTATGTAGTATACTCTATGTCTCTATTATACGTATGTTTTTTTTCTTTTATTGAAGCGTCTATTGAAAACGTCTAAGGCCATTAGTTACGGTCATTAGGTACAATGTGGTAGATGTGAATTTAATATTGTATCTGTGTTTTTATAATGTAGTCCTTGGAGGAATGTGTTATTTATGATTGGGAGTTCGTAGAAATACAGCAATTTAGTGGTGAGACTTGGGTTGTAGTTTGTGATGTTGCACGTTTTATTAGCAAGAAACGCGGGAGAGGTGAAAGTATAGTGCTCTTGTTATCGGGTGCTCGTTGAGGAGTTGCTGGTGGTAATTACGAGTAGGCAGTGGTAGATCCAGAGCTAATTTTTAGGGATGTCATAAGGTTAAAAAAATACAAAAAGTACGGAAATTTGGCCAAACACAGTGTAAAACATAGAAAAACTACGGTGATTGGGTGTTCCCCTCTTTCCCCCTCCTGGATTCAGCACTGAGATTGGGAAAGGCTCTACGAGTAGTATTCGCTACAGTACCTAGTAGGTATTAGATTGATTTAAGGAATCGAAGATGTTTAAGTGTTTTTATTTGATTGATTAGTTGTGATTAATTAAATAAGATTATTAAGGTTTGGACCTTTGAGCTATTTGGTCTTGAATGTTTATTAATTTTTCCGCCATGATAAGGCATTGGAATTTTTCATTACTCAAATATTACGTGTGTAGGTGGTTATATAATAATCAAATCATATTGTCTGCTGGGAGTCGATAAAGTATACGTGCTATAGGCAACTATAAAAACGTCAACGATAATGATAAAACACAAGTGTTGCACGATGGACGGTCAAACACGAACTATGACAACAGATATGTCTTATAAATAACTACAGATGAGATTGAATTCACAAAATGTCTCTCTACATTTCGGTGGATATTGGAAATTTTTAAACACGTATACAAATTTAGTTCATGTTATTCAGCTGACTTGTCCAAATACGAAGTCGTGTGACCATGATATAAGTAAATCGAAGAATCAATCAGATTTCAGCGATATTGGATGACAACCAACAACTAATGGATTATCAAAAATATAAACGATCGTAGTCGAATCGATGTTACATTAAAATTGAAAGATATGGAACAAGTAATATTATCATTATCTTTTATTCAAATGTATTTATTAATATTCAATTAATTTGATCTCAGACTGAAAGTTCGGATGTTTTTCCACTTGCTGTCCGTCCAAATGAACGGTACGGACATCCTCTAACAGGCGATTGTCGTTTTAAAAAACAGTTTTGCCACATCTCATGTTCGATGAAGACATCATGCGAATATCTACTGTGCCGACACACAGAGGAAACGTTCTTAATTTGTATCAATTTTGGATTTTTTTCATAACTGTGACTGTGTTCTGGTCATGCATGGCTATAGCGGCAACTTTACAAGTCTCACTATGTCTCGATCTTTTAGGTAAAATATGATACAACAATACCAATGTCAATAATAATTTTGTAGTTAAAATAAAAATGATATCTCATTTTATTTTTAGAAGACAAACCTGAGGATATTGGAAAACAAATGTGTTGGACATCATTTGGTTGGGGCAGTTTTTCCATATTCATCGGATGGCTTGTGGATTGGTTTAGCATTAATAAAAAGGAAAAAGGATATTCACCAGTTTTTTATTCGGGTTTTTTTCTCTCAATTTGTAATTTATTTGTCATAAACAAACTTAAAGTAAGTTATTTCATGACTCTATGCTATACATCATAATCTATATATTTTAATATTCAAGTGAGCACAATACTTATTAAAAAAAAAACATTCTATTGTCCTGTAACTTATAGGTAATCGAAACGAAAAAAACCGAAGGCAAATGGAATAGTATATATGGATTGTTAACTAAACATTATGTGATTTTATTTTATATATGGGCAATATTAATCACATTTCTCCATACAATTATTACACATTTTCTATTCTGGTGAGTGTATAATTGAAGACACTTTTTGACTTTTACATTTAACTAACTTGTAATTAGTTTAAGTATTTTTTTTTAATCATATTGAGTACCTATTTATAATATTATACTCTCTTGAGTGTGTAAACAGACAAAATATCACGGTAGGTGAGTGTCGAATGTCTTTGATTTAGGCAGGTACTGCCTACATAATGTAGAAGGAAGATATGAAAATTAAAATTTAATGTTTGTCTACTGTTTGGTACAATCCTCATAAGTAATTATTACCTAGTCAATTTGTAGAGCTCGAATTTACTTTTTTTTTTAAGACATAAATATTAAATACTCACATTGAATATTCATAAAAAGTTTTACTTATAACAAAGCACATTTACATTATTTTCACCAAATTATTAATATATTGTTAAGAATATGATGAACAACATGCGTAAATCAAAGCTTTGGCTTAATTTCGGTAAGTCAATTTTTAAGACAGGAAAAACTTTTAAGTTAAAGTTCCTAAAAATAATTTAATTAATTCAAACTCCAAAATAGATGTAATATAAAGGCTTTGCATTAACGAGTTAAATAGTTAAAGTAAAGTCAAAAAGTTAATTTAATTTGAACTTTATAACTTAACTAGTTACTTTTGAATTTTCATTAACTTAACTGTTAACTTACTAAATGTCTTTTTTAAATAACTTGAAATGAACGAATTAAATTTTAATTTTAAGAAGTAAGTTAAGTTAATTCATTTTGTTTTGAATTTTTTTATATTTCACTATATTCGTGTCAAAAGTATTTACCGTGAATTGTTTAAAGTTCAAAACGTATATCGTTCGAATCTAACTTATATGGAAATAAACTGTATAAAGTATAAAAACTATAGTCTATAATTTAGTTTTTTGTTGAAAAAAAATTAAGTAATCTAGCGCGGTATAAGCAAGTTAACTTTTTTTAAACTTAATAAAATGCTAGCAAAAAAAGTGTGTTAACTTTTAACTTAAAGGAGTTAAGCCATAGTTAAATTAACTTTTACATTTTAACTTTTGTATTGGTGCATATTAACTTAACTTAACTGAGTTAAAAAAAACATTAACTTTCCCAGCCCTGATATCAAGTCCTTTTTGCAATAAAATTAAATTCAACGTCATGTGTTTGAAATATGTAGTGTTACCTTTATCTTTATTCACACTTTTTAGTGTGACGTTGACCTAATTTTTTGATTGCGTTAAAAATTTTTAGATTCCCTAATCCTTAGATTATGATAAAGTTGATTAGAAATTTGGAAAAATAATATTTGACTCTATGGTATATACTATAATAATATTTCATTGTTAAAAATTTTAACACTAGTGTTAATAATTATTAATCAGGTACATGGAGGATTTAGTTTCTGCTAACAATGACCACAGCCAACGGGAGTGGCTAAAAACGCTTCAAGGTATAGCTCAATTCATCCAATGTTTTGGCGGTGAAATACCATTTTATTTCTGTTCTGGATGGGTAATCAGAAAGATGGGTCACATTAACTGCATGGTCATAGTGATGGGAACCATGGCTATCCGGTTGTATCTTTACACAGTCATCTGGAATCCAGCTTGGATCATTGCAATAGAGCTGTTGAATGGCGTGTCGTATGCATTGGGAACATCAGTGAAATTGTCGTACTCGAAACTTATGTCCCCCGAGGACTCCATGAACATTCTAATGGGAATTTTAATACTTCTCGATGGCATTGGTAAACTGTGAAAATTGTTTTATACACTAATTATTTAGTGTTTCTATAAAGCAAGAAAAAATTTACCAAAAAAAAAAAAATTAAGAAATCCATTTATCATCCACTCATTATCGATTTATAATACCATGAAAAATAGAACAATTTTCATCGGGAATGATCTCACAAATAATAAAAAATAAAAAATCTGGGCAAGTGGGTGTCACTCTGCTGTACAGTAGGTTACAAGTTGGTCAATGTAATGGATGGTGTATAATTTGAATTCAATTATATAATATCATTGTATAATAAAAACCATTCAGGGCGAAGTCTATGATATAACTAAGTATATTTGATGATATTATATTAAATAAAGTAAGTTATATAATATAACCTATTTAAGTGGAACCTTGTTCTAAATGTTCAATCATTAGATATAAAAGTTGAACATTTTATACATTTTTAACTACAAAATAATTATTAAATTTTAAATATAATAAATGTTGTCCAAATTCGAACTTAGAAATGCTTATTATCAAAATTGTACACATAATATATTTTTAATATTTTTCACTGCAATATATCAGGATATATTATTGAATTCAAATTAAACACAACCTTTACTATAGTGTAAGTCAGTGTATCAATGACGACATACAATCTACTGCAGAAAATCAACTTTCCTATTTATTTACTTTTAAATGTGTTTATTGCTATAAAATATTTGTGGTTTAATCGAATATACGTGGGTACTTAAATACTATGTGAAGGAAAAAATTAAATTTTATTGGTATCAATTTTTTGTTTAAATTTATACTGAACATCTTTAAAATGTAATTTAAACTTAATAGAATTATATATCACATTAAAAATATTTTTATAACTAAATATATTTATAGCACTTTTTATAAAAAATATGTGTTCATCACGACCCTTTTTCCAATTAAATAAACAATTCCTCAAAATATAATGTATAATATTATATTTATATTATGCAAAATACCTTTGTCCCCCATCCCCCCACCCATTAATACTTTAACATTGTATAAGAAGTAGGTAGGTAATAAAACCAGTGAAAAACTAGTAATATTATTATTGAAATGAATATCAAGTTATTAATTATAAATATTATTTAAATTTAACTTTATTTGTTGGGCAAAAGGCTTAAAAATGTAAAACAAGGCTCCTACTATATTGTTACAATGACATTTGAAAAATATTCAAAATTCTTAGTCACAGTTTTTTTCATTAGCATTTAAAGATCAAATTTTGACAAAATACGGAAAATACACGAAAAAAAATTTTGAATTGAGAATTCATAAAAATTTTTCTTTTTAAACATAAGATTTATAAATTTAATACAAGATTATTCATAAGTTGTGTATCTTCCCAAAAAAAAAAAAAAAATGTCAATAAGCAAATCGAATTAAATTTTTATGAGCGTTTGAAGTTAATATTTTTAAAATATTGGATATTCACTTGATTTCTCATGAGTGGTTTGTTATTTTATTGTTATTCAAAAACAAATAACTGTAGGTACATTAAAATTCTACTGAATGTTTATATTTTTATTTTATAGACACCATAACATTTTGAAAATAATTTGACTCGTTTTGAGCTGTTTACGGACATTATCGGTTTTCAATTTTTTTAGTTTTTTTTTCTATAAATATCAATAAAATTTGTTGTAAAGCCACTAGGTGTCTCTAATGAGAGATTTCCTACCATGTCATCATTAGTCCATAGTTTTTCATTCTTTTCACCATAATTATTACTTATTGTACACCCCTGTATAGATTGTAATATTTCAAAATAAAGTCATATTTAAAAAAAAAAAAATATCGATAAAATTTTATTTGTTAGGTAAAAAAGAGTGACAATTGTATGCAAGGCTCCTGATATATTGTTACAATAGCAGTTGAAAAATGTTAAAAATATATAGGCGCAATTTTTTTTTTAAGCATTCAAAGTTCGAATTTTGACAAAATTTATCATATTTAAACTTTAATAATTATTTTGTAGTTAAAAATTTATAATTTTTTTTATTTAGTCATTACGTTATATAAGTTCTCCCGATGAATTCTATCATCGACTTTTTTAAAGTCCATAAATATTTGCCAGTGATTTTGTCGAAATTCATATTTCTTTTCTTTGATCTGACCTATAACTGCAATTTGTTCAATGGTTGACCACCCCTCCTAAAATCACTCTGATATTCACCTAGGTTTTCTTCTGTATAAGGGCTTATGATTCAGTTGCACTTTGGAAAGTACTTTATATGTTGAGTTTACGAGCGATATTCCTCTGTAATTTAAACACTCAGTTTTATCACCTCTCTTGTGGATGGGAATAATTATTGCCTTTTTCCAGTCTTCAAGCATTTGTTCTTCTTCCAAGATCTTTTGCCATATTTTGAAGATAGACTTCTGCATTTCTTCGGCACCGTATTTTAAAAGCTCAGCTGCTATATTATCAGAACTGGAGTTTTTTAGACCGTCAAAAGCAATATTTACCTCCTCTAATTTTATATCGCTAATCATTGGTTCCGCTGTCTGGTATTGAGCGTTTCCTATAGGGTCCACTTGTATTTCTGCATTGAAAATATCTATGAAGTATTCCCTCCACCTTTACCTTTATCACTTGGTTCCATAAGAAAATCTTCATTACTACCTTTATTGCCTTTAGGATTGTGTTAAAATCCTTATACTGTCCAATAGTCTTGAAGAAGTTTCTAATTCTTCCTTGCGATCGATCCTTCTCGGCTTCCTCCAAAATCCCATTAATGAACTTCTTTTTTCCCCTCTGTAATATTCTCCTACACCTTTTAATTTCAATTAGAAAAATGTCTTTCGCATCCTGATTCCCAGATCTTATAAAATCTGCTCTTGCTACACGTCTTTTTCCACGACTTCCCTGCATAATTCATTATACCATTTCAATGAAAATGATATATGTAAAAATAATATATACGCATATGTATAACATTTTTACAAGTTAATCTTTCAAATTAAAATGTAACTTTGATTTGATTCGTTATTTAAAAACATTATACTTAACATGATTTTAAAATGGATTACGTTTTACAGGTGAATCTTTAGGTAGTCTACTGGGCGGATTTTTATTCGGATCATACGGTGGAGTGTGGTCGTTTCGATTTTTAGCTTACGGTTCTGCTTTGATGTGCTTTTTAAACATACTAAGCAATCGTTTCGGGTTGACTAAAGATTTGACAAATAATAATTTTGTCGCAGTGCCTATGACAGAAAATAACCAGAAAAATGATGAAGTTGATATCAACATTTAATTTAATGATTTCTTTATTTTTTATTTTATATAAAATTGTAAAAAAAAAATGGAATGTTATTTTGCAGAAAAATTCTATCATATTAAAATAACGAATAATGCTTTATATTTTAATAGTATATTAACTACATTAGACAATATTAAAACAATTCATGCGAACGTATAGTACAACTTAGTGATAATATATAGGTAGTACGAGTTGGCATACATCACTTTGTCACACAAACTTCAACAACCTAGGGACCACCAAACAATTGAAAATTGACTGTTGTTAATACATTTTAGATTTTCTATTATTACATTCAATCGTTTTAGATTCCGAGAGGATCGATGAATGTACAGTGTACACACGACAATTAATCATTCGAAATAATTCTTCGATTTTTAACCAGCTTAACACTAAAATAAGTAGACTGTCCATTGTCAAAAAAATTAAAAATCAAGCTTAAGCTAATTGATAAACTAATAAAGAATTATAATTTAATCACCATTAAAAAGGTGGAAAAGTGTGTACCTACTTTTATAAATAATCTAATATTTAAAACCAACTGAATATCAAATATCGTTAAAATTTTAAAATCAAACTCATTTCCACCCTTAAAAAATTAATATTACTTTCTGATGAAATTTTTTTTTTATGAAGGTAGAAAAACTCGTAGAGACTATTCTATTCAAATTTATTATGCTAGCTGTAAAAAAATTAATATTTATAAATTTCTAACTAAGAAATAATTAATAAATTTGAGGGATTTTGAAGAATTTTAACTTCAAATACACTCATAAAAATAATCGTGCCTATGTATTTTTAATATTTTTAAGTTGATATCAAAAAAAAAAATTTACTAGAAATCTTGCCAAAATAGTTTAAATGATTTGCTTAACATTTTTCGAGCTTGTCTTTTTAATTCAGTAACTTTACCAAATTATGCTAAAAGCCTAAAACAATAATAATTTAAACACAATATAAAAATTAAGGCCCCCGCAAACCCTATTAATTTTTCATCAAAACGACCTTAGTGACTGACAAAAATTAAAGTACTTCTAGGGGCGCGATTTAAAAAATGTAAAGATGTTTGTGTTGGTTAACAAGTCTACTTTGCAGCGGTAGGAGTATATTTTTTATATTGTAGATATTTTTGAATATATTCAATAATAAAAATTCATTAATTTATTAAATGTATTATATTTTGATTTTTTTTGAAGTGTTCACGAACATTTATACCGCGATTTGTACTCAATTTGTTTTCAAACTATTCAGAAAAGTAGGTACTAGAATATTATACCTACTTTTGACCCCTAAAGTAACAACTAGATAAGTACAATTTTCAACCAATAACCTCCAATATAGTTAAAAAATCAAATCATTTGTACTTCTCCAAAATGTGTTAAGGGGGTCGGAGTCAGTGCGTTTTTTGGTACAAAAACATTTCTCACAGGAAAAACTCTCACGCCCGGTAGTATTGTCAGATTTTGTAAATTTTTTTTTTATCGAAGAGGATAGAACATTTTGTAGGTCAGGTCAAAGTCCGATTTTGAAAATTATAATTATAGAAGCTAGAATATGCATTTGAATAATGCACAATATTTGTCCTTTTTCAAACGTATTTTTCTACTACTATTTAAATTAAAATAAAAATTCGAGCTTTGATCTGACCTGCAGAAACTTCTCATCATTCAGGTAAAAAAAATTGACCAAAATCTGACATCTATGAGACATGAGAGTTTTTCCTGTGAAACCGTTTTTGTTCATCAAAATAGTGCTTCGATAATAAGTCATCGAAGTCAAGGACTGACTTGTGCATGCGTGTGCGTATATATTTTTATCAGCGCTTCCACTCACACTAATATCGATTTACATACTCTCACACATGCACTTTCCACGCCACGCCGATACAACATGTGAATTGAATTGCCTAAATTTTACTCCTTAATAAATGACCGGCACCGACACCCTTAAGACACAAAGAAAATAACAGGAATCACAATAAAATCTATACTTTCATAGCTACTCTCAGAATTAAAATTTTTATTACCCAAATTAGTTCCGGCACAAAACCTATCATAAGTCACATTTAGTGATAATGTGGGGTGAATACAATTTTTGACGAGTAATAATGTTGATGTATGAATAATTTCTTTCTAAATATGCATCTGTATCTTTTTCCGTTGTCTACGTCACAACAATAACCTGTACAAGTATAAAACAGATGTATAATGTAAAATGTTTATAATAAAGGTATAATGTTAATATCTCGTTATGTAAGTGTCAATAATGAGTTCAATTGTATTTGTTAAATAAAGTCCGACTAACTAATGTTTATAAAATTGGAGATCAATTGAATATGAAATACCTAAAAATAAAGTTTAGTGGTTATACAAAATGTTTCTATTCTGGTTGCAGCGGAATATCTCACAATGACAAGAAATGTACCTACTTACAGAACTCATAAAAGTATTAATGGATATTAAGAAAAACAAAGTTAGCCCATTTTGTTCAAATTATAACGGACAAATTGTGAACATTGCAGATCTCTATCTGTTAGTTATTCGATTTTGTACGATCTTCAGAGCTCAGTTGTGACATATTTTAACTCACTCAACTCTCAAATCTCCCTATTTGACAAAACATTTATGACTAAAACATTATAATTTTATTAGCTTAATTTGTAACTTCTTAAAAGTTGGTTATCGAAAATAATTCTTAGTTCATCGATTTGAATAACACCAAACCTAACCATAACCTCACTTCACTTTATTTTAATTAACCAATATATCCTGCTTTGGAATGGGTGCTACGGAAAACCCCAAACTGATTATTTCGTAAAAAGGGTACTGAATTATTTGAATAAAAGTGAAATATTGAAGACTCCTGTGGGCATACCAACCACCCTCAGGACAACCGACCAACAGTGGGATCAGCCCAACGCATAGCCCCCACTGCAGTACATTGCAGTGATGTCATTAAAAAGCACTGGGAATAAATTAATGGCCTCACAAATGCCTTCGAAATGGCTGTGAACGAATTACGTACCGTACTACAACTATACAAAAATTAAAATAATATTATTTGCACTGCACAATGTCCAATTACTACACAATAAATTATTTCATTCACTTATATCATTAAATCAGACTTACTTTTTCATACATTTTCGTATAGTTATGGTATGGCACGTAGTTCGTGCACAGCCATTTCGAACAAATTTGTGAAGCCATTAATTTATTCCCAGTAATTTCTAACGACATCACTGCTATGTACTGCAGTGGGGGCTATGCGTTCAACTGATCACACTGTTGATCGGTTGTACTGAGGGTGGTTGGTATGCCCACAAGAGTCTTAAATATTTCACTTTTATTCAAATAATTCAGTACCCTTTTTACAAAAGTTTGGTGTTTTTCGTAGCACCCAGTCCATAGCGGTGATATATTGGTCTTGAAAAAGTAATTTCGTTTTTTACTATTAATCATATCGTAGTCTAGCCAAGCACCGACTTCTTCACCCCACCGACTGCTTCCTTCCATTGCATAGAAATATTTTATATATCAATGCCTTGACTGTGTTATTCATCTCCCGGTAGAAATCACTAAATATCTTTGTATTCCAATAAAATAATTCATTCAATTCCACGGGGACGATTGACCTGGTTTTTGTATTTAAGAGGTTTCCAGCAATCATACAATAGGATCAAAACAATACAACAAACAATAGGATCGATCGAATGAATGACTCCCAATTCAGTGCATTACAGTTATGGCGTTTGAGAGGACGGGTAATATAAAGAAGCCAAAATAATGGCGTGACAAATAGCATCTAAATAGTTGTACACGAACTACGTGCAAAACTATAACTACAGAAAAATGTATGAACAATTAAGTCCGATTTGGTGATATAACTGAGTACAACCTCAGGACAACCGACCAACAGTGGGATCAGCCGAACGCATAGCCCGCAGTGCAGTACATATCAGTGATGTCGTTATATAGAACTGGGAATAAAGACGTGAAATTAATAGTTTCACAAATGGCTATGCACGAATTACGTACCGTACCACAACTATACAAAAATTAAAATAATATTTTTTGCACTGCACAATATAACCTTACTACCCTATAAATTATTTCATTCACTTATATCATCAAATCGGACTTACTTTTTCATACATTTTCGTATAGTTATAGTATGGCACGTAGTTCGTGCACAGCCATTTCGAACCCATTTGTGAAGCCATTAATTTATTCCTAGTTCTTTCCAACGACATCCTGCAATGTACTGCAGTGGGGGCTGTGCGTTCTGCTGATCCCACTGTTGGTCGGTTGTCCTGAGGGGGGTTGCAGATCTCTATCTGTTAGTTATTCGATATTGTACGATCTTCAGAGCTCAGTTGTGACGTAAGTTAACATAAAAAGGCTAACTCACTCAACTCTCCCCTCCCCCCTTTTCACCCAAAATTTATGATTAAAACATTATAATTTTAGTAGCTTAATTTGTAACTTCTTAAAAGTTGGTTATCGGAAATAATTATTAGTTCATCGATTTGAAGATATCACCAAACTTAACCATAACGTCACTCCACTTTATTGTAATTAAAGCAGACATTGTCAAATTGTATTTCATGTATTATAGAACTACAAACTAGGTATATAGGTATATTATAGTAAAGCACATTTACCTTTCCTTGATCCCCACTGACTACATTATATTGACTATTCCAATCAATACAAACAGGCGCTGTAAGACCATTAGGTACCCTAAATTAAATTTTGTTCGCTAACACAAGAACTGCTATATTCGAATGAAATAGTCCGGTTAAAACTTCATTCAGGTAAAGTATTTCTATCTGCACAATTGTTTTGATGTATATTGTATATAACACCTAATATATAATACAAATTTTTATTTTACTTTTAATTATTGATACTTAACTGCCATTGATAAGGTATTTAATAAATGCCATTGTCAGTTATTGTGAGTTTATTAACAAATTTAAAATTATTCTAATTTCAAAAAAAAAAAAAGGATGCTAGTTAAAGGTTAAACGTATGACAAATATTGTGAAAATTATATAGCTAACAAATAATTGAAAAAATAAACTGTTACCCTATATTCTTAATAAGTATTTTGAAAATTATTATAATAAGTTTTAAATTAATTAACACCAAGTAAATATTGAGATTTAAAAAAATTCTAAAAAATAAACTACTTAACTTAGGTAAATATTTGTACCATCAAAATTGTTCTCATAGTCAGATTTATAAATTGGCTAATTTAAAATGTCCCATAAAATTTTTTTCTTCAGCTTAAAGAAATAAAAATGAAAAATGTATACTTTAAATTTAGCACAAGTGCATATAAATTATATAAAAGAAAATTGTTTATTAAAATATTGATTACCTATAACAAAAGTCAGTGCTTTCTGTCACTAATTTGCAATCTGTATAATAGTATATCACACCAATGATTTATAGACTGAATTATTAAAAACTTACATTGATTGTTTGAATAAATTCATTGTTGAAAAGAAGTTTTTTATGGAACGATGTGGGGCTAGTCAGGAAAAAGTCAATTCCTGACAAAATACTATTTTTAAAATATATTAAGCAGTTATTTTAGCCAAAACATCCAATTTTCATTCCATCATACTGATCGATCTAGTAATGCGATAATACTTTTTCAAACAGATTTGAATTCGTTATTATGTCTAGTTGAGATTGATGAGTCCACTTTTCCCAATTTACCCCCCCCCCCCAACCACTAAAAATTTAGATTGAATATTTTAAAATTTCGGAATTTTCAAACGTTGATTATTCTGAATTTAAAGCAGAAATCTTAAAATGTGGATTGACCAATCTCTATGATAAATTCTAAAAATTCAGATCAGTTTTCAGAAATATTATCTCATTATTCGATCGATTGGTAGGATGGAACATAAAAAAAAAAGAGTGGTAAGTTGTAGTGACGGTCAGCGATTGATTATAATTTATCTTATATATAAAAATCTCGTGTCGCGTCTTTGTCCGAGATAAACTGCGAAACTACTTGACCGATCTTGACGAATTTTTTACAAAGTGTGTAATTTGGCTGAACTTAAAACTTAAAAGATAGGCTAATTTAAAAAGGGAGAAGACCATCCGCGAGAGGTGTTAAAACGGGAATTTCGATATTTCGGATAGAAATTTTTGTTTATAAATGGTTGCCATGAGTGATGTCGTATAAAATGATTCTTTGTAGAATTTTAATACAGAATTATAGTGAATCGTTTTAATTCGTTACAAACCAACATACAAACCATTTATTATATAATACAATTTGTTATTGTACATACTATACATATACATATTCAATCGGTACCTATTATTATTATTATTATGCGTTTATAGGAAATGATGGGTTCTTAAGCTATAGAATAATAATAACAATATAAAAAAAAAAACCTTTTGATTTAATTACAAAGGATTTGTTTTATTTATTCATCGGATTTTAGTACGGTTAGGTTAGAATAGGATTTTGTATAAATTGATTATATTAATCTATAGTTGGTGGAATTAAGTAAAAACGACAAACTTGGTTTCAAATTGATACTTAAGAATTAAATCATACGCTTACGTACAAACAGCAAGGGGTCCGCGATGGCGTGATCTGCAATATAGGTTGTATGTTTACCTGATAATGTACTGCTGCGAAGCAGAATTTTCATTTAGGGTGACGGAAAAGTTAAGATAAATTTTGAACAACATACACCACATATTAAATAACGAACTAAACAAAGTTTGAGTCACATAAAGTTGATGATTTAAGGGGCAACAAAGTGTACGGGATCAGCTAGTAAATTATAATTTACAATAGTTTTTACATAGTATCCGCTATAGGTAGGTAAACTGTTTTCAAGAAATCTCTACGGGTCTTGCCTTGCTTTGGATGAGGGGAGTTTCCCATTTAGCACAAGTTTCGGGGTGTACCCATACCTTGGAGTAGAAGGTGTGTTGGAGAGTAATTACATTAAATTTTCAGGTCTCTTCCTTTTCCACTGGATAGTGGCCTTGGAACGGCCGATGGATTTGATGTGTTGGTGATTGGAGGTTTTTGTTTTGTTGAACATGATCTTCGATGCCCTGATTATTTGGTTTTGGAGAGAGTCGATGTTTGATGAATTTCTAATTGTGGTGTTCCTTATGAACCAGGGTGACGCTGTTATTGTTCTTAAAGATATATTTTGGACCGCCTCGAGACGTCTCCAGTCTCGATTTGAGATAAGAGCGCCCCAAGCTGGCCCTGCGTATGTTAGGTTTGGTATGATGTATAATTTGTGTAGAGTTAATCGCTGACGGAGTGAGAGGTGGCTTCGGGAGTTCAGTAAGGGGTAGAGTGCAGCCCTGATTTGCCTGGTCTTTTTTTGGATGGCCAAAACGTGTTTGTGGAACGTCAGTCTTGAGTCTATGGTTATTCCCAAATATTTAACCTGTTGGCTCCAGGGTACTGGGTGATTGTTTACAAGGAGCTCTTCCAAGTCTTTTGACGTTTTATCACCAAACAGTATTGCGACCGTCTTCTTAGGGTTGATCGATATTCTCCATCTCTCCAGCCAGGATAACGATCTATTTAATTGGGATTGGATTTTTTCCATGGCAAATTTTTTACTCATACTTGAGTAGAAGAACATTGTGTCATCTGCGAAGAGGTTGATTTTGATTCCAGGATTCGTTGGTATATCGTTGATGTAAATACTGAATAGTAATGGGGACAGGCAGGAACCTTGTGGGACACCGGCTTTAATGTTCCGAGGGGACGATGACGTTGTTGATAGTTTGACCGAGAATGTTCGATCTGTTAAGAAGACTTTGATCAGATTTACAAGTTGGACTGGTACACTTAAGGTTAGGAGTTTGTATAGAACGCCTTGGTGCCAGACTTTGTCAAACGCCTTTTCGAAGTCTAGAAAGATTGCCGCTGTTCTTTCCTTTCTATTGAAGGTGATTGCCAGATCGTCGACAAGTTTAGTAAGTTGGATTGTTGTAGAATGTTCTGGACGAAAAGCGTATTGCTCCGGTCGGATGAAGGGGGAAACGTATGACTTGAGACGTTTTAGTATAAGAATCTCGAACAGTTTCGACATTGTGTTGAGTAGTGAGATGGGTCGATGGTTTGCTGGATCTGATTTGTTTTTCCCCGGCTTTGGAATCATGACCACGTTAGCATGTTTCCATACATTAGGAAAGTGTGATAGACGTATGCAGCTGTTGAAGATTTTGGTGAGATGCAATATAGTGCGGTTAGATGCATGTCGCAGAGCTGTATTGGGTATCCCATCCGGGCCTGGCGCTTTCTTCCTCGGAAGGGTTTTTATGATGGATTTGACTTCGTTTGGAGTAATGTGTTGAATTGTTGGGGGATAGGATTGATTGAGGATCTTTAGTTTCTCCTTTACCATTGAAGTAGTCATGATGTCGCCAGCTGGGCAGGTGAATTGGGTTTCAAGTGAGTTAGCAAATAGTTCGGATTTGGATTCTTGATCAAAAATAAGGCC